GAAGCCTTGAAGACTTGAAGACATTTAAGTAAGGAACTTGGGGCAGACTACGTGGGCAGCTCATTCAAGACCCTTTCTTTAGTTTAAATTACAATCCTTAGGATTTTGAGGTTATCTTTTATGACATAAAACCTCTCCTCTCTCTTTTTTTTAGGCTCCTGCATAGTCCTGATATGCAGGATGTCCTAACTTGTTTCAGGATTCTGAGGTAGTCACTCGACGTAAAACCTCCTATCTTTATAGGCTTTTTGTGTAAATCAACATTATACAAATCTAAGTCCTAATTAATAAAACTGGAAAGAGTTAACTTAAATTAATATCATCATAAATTGAGCCAAATGTTAGGATAGTTTGGGGGATTACCAAGAACCTACCCTGGATCTTTAATCTCTCCTACTTTTCTTCGTTTGATTCTTAAAATGAAATCTTTCACTTTTGAACCAATTTCTATTGAAAACTCCACAATCATGTTCGTTGAAAACCCTTCCTTTTGAACTCATGAAAATAAAAGATTCCTAATTTTTATCGAGAGTTTTCTTAAGTGATCTGTTCACTTAAGATGTAATTAACTATAGGGGCTTGCCCTTACAGGGAACTTCAAAGAACCCAGACTTAAAATAAACCTTATTTGACTCCCATATCAAATAGGGGAATCTGTCGGTCATCATGCAAACTTGCAGATCAAATGAAAGTCATTTATTTCTATAGTTTATTTAATTTAGCTTATTATTAAGTATTGTATTACCCTTCAGGGTGGTACATTACACGTAGTTAGCTCGATTATCCAAATTTTAGGAATCAATGGGATCAGTTTGATCCCATTTTCTTTAAATTAAAATACCTAATCTCTAAACACTACATTACACTAAATTAAACTGCACCCAACCATATGGTGACCGACAAGGACTTAAGGACCAAATCATTAACCAATTATCTGGACAAATCATAGAGTTACTCAGAGCAGTGGATGCCCTAAGGTCAGTCCTAATTTTAGGAAGAGAATGGGTCCAGCAAGGGGAACCCATCCCCCTTAGGGAGAACTGCCGATGAACAATGGAACAAAAATAATCCACTTACAGAAGAAGCTCGATGATGAGTTATACCAAGACAGTGTCAGATCTAACACTGAGGAGGAGAGGAATTGTTTGTTGCAGATCAAAGTACAGTGTTGACTGGAGAACACTTTCTCACTGTAATTCTTAAGAGCTGATCCCTTTGAGAAGTTTAAGATTCACATTCTAGAGTCACACAAAGAGTGGTTGGACCTCAACGACCACCTCACATCATTTTAATTTTTCATATGCCTGTTAAAAACCTATAATGCTCTCAAATGTAAATTGTTCTTCATCACATTAAGGTCTTTTGCGCTAATATGGTTAGACGAGTTAACCGCAGACCTAATGACCTATTTTATATAATTTAGGAGGCTCTTTCTATCACAATTTACTAGAACTTTGAGACCCAAAAAGAGTGCTCAATCCTTATGACAGCTCAAACAAGCAGATGATAAGAGCTTTTGATTGTTATTGCGTGGTTTAAGAGGGAAATTTTGGATGTGAAGAACTTGAAACCTAACATGGCCCAGACCACACTTACATAAGGGGTAAGGCAGGAGAGATTTCACTTCGATCATGACCTCATAGAGCCACATAGCCTAGATGAGTGTTGGAAATGGCTAATAAGTACATAATTGGCTATGAAAATGCCCACGAACCTATCAAACAAATACACTAAAAAGTTCTCATAGGACAACAAGAGGTAGTCAAGATAGATTGAGCAACCAATCATCCACCCAAGCAACCACTCAACCATCAACAGAATCAGACCAGACAATGACGACTCAACACCACTGATCAACCCATTATCATGAGCAATCCTATTGCAACCATGGAGTCACCAATAAAACTCTGCTGAGGTGTCTATGGTAGAAATATTGGACACCACTAAGGATAAGAAATTCTTTAGGAAAGCATCGTCAATGAGGACCGGAGCCTTTCTCAGAGATAGCAGAAAATGCTGCAAGTATCACCAAAATCACGAACATGACATAGAAGAATGTAGGCATCTTTGAAGCCTAATTGAAGGACTGAAAAAAGGGGGAAGCTGAAATAATTCATCGCTTCTAAAGTCGTGACCTAGGTGCAAAGCAAGGCTTTTGTGGGGAATGGCCTACAAACTCATTCACACCAACGTCATCTACATCATGGGATACATGCCTGCAATATTTGGAGGAAGCAAACCACTTAAGAGCGTAAACTAAAAGAGACAACAAACATGGGCACTTTGCACCTCAACCTTTCCATAAAACCCAAGGGTCATCCTCCTATTTACTTAACTTACAAGGATATGCAATCAAAGGGAAATTCCTATAATGATTATATTGTGATAACAATTACAATCAATAATTAGCAAGTAGGAAGTGTATTCATCGATACATGAAGCTAAGTAAATTGATTATTCAAGCAGGTGTTCAACAAGCTAAGTCTCACTTCCAATCAGATGACTACACCAGTAGAATCATTGTACGGTTTCTCAAGCAAAAGAAAAGAAGCATTAGGGGTGATCGGGTTCCCAGTAAGTTGGGGAGAAAATGGTTAGTTTACACTAACAGAGGATTTCCTCGTGGTAGATTTCTCCCTAATCAAACAGATTTGAGGTATGTTTCTATCCGACCCGAGTTAGCTCGAGTTCACTTTTGGTTAAATTTGAATTAGTTTAAGTCAACTATATTTTAATAGGATTGACTAAGATGGGCTCGGTTTGACTAGGCAAAAGCTATGCTTGACTGATTTGGACTAAATCGAGGTTGAACTAGGTTGTTCCAAATCAGGTTGAGCTAACATTGAGTTAGCCTGGGTTAAGCCGGGTTGACTTGGGTAAAGTTTTCTGAGCTGGATCAAATCTTACTTGAATTAAATGTAGGTAAAGTCTAAGTTAATTGAGATTTGATACATCCTTTAATCAAATCAAGCCTATGCTAAGTGTGACTTGTGTTGATCTTTAATTAAACTTGGTTCAAGTTGAAATTAAGATAAGTTCAAAGTTGAGTTCCCAATCGGATTGACCTGAGTTAAGTCGAGTTGAACTGAGGTATTATAGATAATTTATGTTATTCTTAGTTAGGTCCGATTAACCCAAGGTATTCAAGTTTGTTTAGGTTAACCTCAGGATGATTTAGGCTGACGTCAGTTAACCCAAATTAGGTTAGGTAGGCCTGATGATTCAATTGCTTTAAGTTAATCAGAGTTAGGTTCAATTAGCCTCATGATTTAAGTTGATTAAGGTTAACCCTAATTAAATTAGATTAGCTCAACGATTTAAGTTTATTTGGTTTAACCCATGTTATATCGGATTAGCTCAGTAATTTAAGTTTATTTGGGTTAATCCGAGTTAGGGCAGGTAAGCCTTGAGATTTAAGTTGATTTGGGTTAACTCAAGTTAGGTTTGATTGGCGTGATGATTTAAGTTGATTTAAGTTAACCTAAGTTCGGTTGAGTTAACCTAGTGATTTAGGTTGATTTGGGTTAACCCGAGTTAGGTCTAGTTAGCTCAGTGATTTAAATTGATTTGGGTTAACTTGAGTTAAGTCTGTTTGGCCGAGTGATTTAAGTTAATTTTGTCCAAGTTGAGTTAGACCAAAGGGGTTGTTTAATTTATGCTAAGTTTAAGTTGGGTTAGACATAGGGTAGTTTAATTTGTACTAGTTCCAAGTTAAGTTAGACCCATGGTAGTTTAATTTAGGCTAGGTCTAAGTTAGGTTACATCTTAGAAGTCAAGTTATTTAATTTTTACACTTGTCATTTATTTAAAATTTAGTGCTTAAATTTGCACAATATCTGATCATGCAAATAGCCTATGAATATGGGAGGATTTACTTTGTACTGGATAGATAACCTCAAAATCCTAAAAGAGTTAAGATTTATATTGCACAATATGATTATGCAAAAGCCTAATGTTGGAGTGAGGATTTACATCGTACTAAAAAACAACCTCAAAGTCCAAATGCTTTATATTATTTAAGATTAAGGAAGGTTTTGCTGAAGAAGATCAACTGCATTTTAGTGTTGATTGTCAACTGAAGTCGTCCCCCATTCAGTTGCAGTTTATTCCAAGCTTATTGCTTTGATGTAGTGTCCCTCCTAAACATATGCCCTATTGTTGTCAGCCCTAGGGGTTTTTGCAAGCAGAAGAAATTATATATAAATGAAACAAACGGTAAAGCAAAGCAAAATGAAAAAAAGAGAAGAAAAGTAGTAGCGCCTACCTGTTGCCTCCAATGTTGCTGCAAAAGGGTTAGTAGCATAAACATAGCATAATAATATGACAAAGTTTAAGTAAACAAGTCATAAGAAGGTATGAACACGTTTATGTATAAGAAAGTTATTTGTCAAGTATATGAAAGATCAGAGCTGGCTATAAGAATTCAAGTTAGGGGTAGGCTCAAGCTCATAATTCTCGAGGGACATCCTTAGGAAACCCTAAGCAATCTATGTGTTATGTCCCATCCAACCCCTGTTAGAAACTTCAAATAATATAATCGAAAGAGGGCAACTCCTAGCATGCTCAAAGTGATTAATAAGTGGGCATGTATAAGATAGTATCCAAAATTTTTAATTTGTTAGGCATTTAAAAGGTAAACTTTTACTTAACAGTAAAAAATAATAGTGTCAAAAGAAAAAAGCTATTTTTTTTATTGTTATGTCATATACATCTTCTAATTTATATTACCACAACCAAACAAATTTATTTAGATTGATAAATGTAAGCTGCATATGTATAGCTTTTTAAATTGTTGAGAAACAGCCCTAAAAAATAATACATCTAAGGATGAATAAATGCCTCTCAGTAAATAGAGCTAGAAATGCTACAAATGCAACAAACATCACCGTATAACTTCAATAAACCTGCAACTCAAAGAAGAAAAAACGCCTAAGCTAGTAGCTAAAAAGTAGATCAAATGAAGTTGAGTATTTTCATTAAGGGGAGGGACTCCAGTGAGCCTAAAGTCCACCGCCCAGGAACAAGGAGCTCGAGCTCTCGAGAATATGATGGCCGAGCATCAGCTCCTGCTTCGGGCTATCACGGTCTCCCTGCATCTTAACAGAGCGTTCGTGTTTCGGGCTTCCGGACGGCGAGCCCGTCTCCGGAGTGAGCGGCCCGTGATGGGAGTCCTCGAACGAAAAGCTCTTAAAGAGACTACCATGGAGAGAAGATTTGGTGACTGGAACAGGGGTGGAGGGATCACTCTTATCTTCTAGAGTTTGGTTGGTCGAGGTAGGTGCTAATCCACCGCTAAGCCGCTGCTGCTCTTCCATGATCTTTTTCAGATATTTTCCTTGAGCTTCTATCCTATCACTCTGCTAGTACTAGAGCTACAGGAAACCTGGGAAAGCAAGGGCACCTTCTCACCAAGTGTTGGTGAATAGTAACATCGATCCTGCACCCTTTCTGAAGGTACATGGACCAAGAGATTGTTGACCTCATTTTTTATGAGGTCAAATTTTTCTATTTAGGAACCTAGGATCTAGTCTTAGGGCTTTCCTATGGACTATCTTAAAGGACTAGTGATGGAGTCCATACCCCACAGAAATTCTAAGCAATTTGTTACTCTTTTGAGGTCCCACCTAAGTGACTACAAGCCCCCAATTGTCATTTTGGGATGGACATGACCAACATGTGGAGACTTAAGAGTGATTTCCAATAGGTTCAACCAGGCCTTAAGAAAACTCTGGGCGGCTCAAGTTTGGTCTCACACACATCTACACACACTCAGACCCATTAATTTCTCCACATACCCAAAATCCTTGAATCACATACACTAGATCTACCTCTTTAACTCTTTGGAGAACTCACATCAAGCCCCCAAATCTCATTTAGGATGGCTAAGACCAACATGTGGAGACTCAAGGATGAGTTCTCATTTGGTGTCCTATGGTCTCAAGATGGCTAGTAATGGCATGCTTGATCACCTTATCGAATTTCTCCCAAGTTACCCAATTTCCATAAATTCCCTAAAATACCAAATTTAAACCCAAATGAAAGCCCTCTGAATTCCAATACCAAATTTAAATTCAATCTCACCAAACACCAAATTAAAACCCAAATTTCAATTCCAAACCCAAAACTCCCAATTTTGAGCCAAATGTCCAAGTCCATAAAAAAAATTCTAGCAGGTCCAAAAATCCACCTAATTTGGCCTACACATCGATTTAAATATATTACACCTAAAATCAATTTTGCATGACAATTCCAAACTGATTTTCAAAGCCTAAAACCAATTTTCCTTAACTCATCTTAAAAGCCCAAATTAATCCCTTCATGACAAAATTTAAAATGCCCATGAATGATGCCCAATTTCAATTTTAATTAAGCCCATCATGAAAAATTTCCACTTAATTAATTTAAAAAATCAATTTATACATCATGGTCATGCACCATGTATCCATGTATGAACCCATCCTTTTTTTGGTCCCAAGGATTTCTCTCACCAAATCTTCAAAATCCCCAAATGCCTTCTTCATGAAAATCACCCATGACCTCATGCATGTCATGAAACCACTCATGGGAGCCATCCATAAGCATCACAGGAAGTTAGTTGCCTAGGTCAAGTGGGACATTTTCTCTGTTTAGAGGTAGAGGATTAGAAGTCCTGATAGGGGGTTTGATGGTGTCTCAAGGCTCTCAGATAAATTCCTTAAGCAGTCATGAGAGGCCATTGGGAGCTTAATTTTGATTGGAAATGCTTGGGCAGCTCCTTAGAGAACTCTCAGATGATTTTAGGCAGTAGAGGGAAACTCTTCAACTTTTCATGGCAGCTTGACCATGGTGGTGAGCATGGAGATGAGGGAGTCATGGGAGAGAGCTCTAAGCTGATTGTCGACCTCTTAGGTGGATAATATATATTAGACTTGATCTGGTTTGACTCATCAAGGGTTGATTTCTAGGTGACATGTGTAGTGACATGTGTCTCCTCTATGATGAACCATGATGAATAGTATCAAGCTCACCATTCAGGGATTGGATTTACCCTAGTTTGGCCTAGTGTGTCACCCATATATTGTGTTATGTGGGTATTGGGTCATGGGTGACCCATTAGAGATAAGCCATGGGCCATTAGCTTTGGTATGGGTCTTATTATAGGATTTTGGATTTAAGCTAGATGGGTTGGGTTTCCTTTTAGCATAAACTTTAATGGAATTTAAAAATATACTAAATTAGTTAATCAAGTTAATTATGGAGGTTGAACCCATGGTGGCAACAGAGTCCCTTAGTTGTGTGGTGTCATGAACATGTTGGGTGAGGCTCAATTAAATGGGGATGTGTTCAGTTAGTCCAAATTTGCTAAAAATTTGGGTAGGCCCAATTGAATTTGACCATCCCAAGGCGCCATCAAATTTTGGGGTCAAAAGGACACATTAGGGTTTAAAGTGATTTTTAAGGTTTGATAGGGTTAGAAGGCCTTAGGTGAGACTAGGGATAAATTTAGACCCTCTCCCAAGGTGGATTTCATGGTCAAAGTGGTTTCTAGGTTCCATAAACAAGTGATCCACCTTATAATTACCTATTTTTTATACATGTTTATTGTTCATTTTATACGCTTTTTTATGATATTATACTTTAAAGTAAGGTATTTTGTATGTTTTTAGTTTCATTTATAAGGAATGGATATTTATAGAAAATGAGGGAAAATATAGCAAAATGACAACACCTCATATGGCGTCATAGCGCCAACCCTTAGTGTCATAGCAACAACTTAAGACCATGACGGGTGTTATAGCACCGGTAATCGATTTTCTAAAATATTCATTGAATTTGGCCAAATTTTGAAGGGGTGCATGAAGTGATCGTTGGTAAATTTTAGTTATCTATTAAAAAGTACAATGGATGAACAAAAATGAAGACTTTTAAGGGACTATTTTAGTGTGTTAGGAGAGTTTTGAGAGACTTTCAAGTGTTTTTAGTTGGTGTGTTAGCTTATATTTGTGATTCTTTGTTTGTAGAAGAAGAGTTTGGAGATTACTTGAAGGAGACTTTAGGAATTGCTTCGGGAGAATACATAAAATAAGTAATTTGTATTTATATTTGAGTTTTTATTTTTAAGACTTTGCTTTCAATACAAATCATGTGTTTTTATTTTATCTCCATGAATTTTGAGTAGTTTTCCTTTCTTTCTCTTTGCATATGGGAATTAATCAAATGGGATAAGATTGATTTAAAGATTTATTTTTATTTTATAAAATTGCAATGGAATTTTCATTGATTTTTTATTGACTTTACAAACTGGTCATTTGTGATGTTAAAATCTATTGTAAAATATAATGACCCGTGAGGGCTATGATTTCACTAACTAGTGAGTACCACACTTAACTTTGGAAAGAGTCATCGCAATCATCCTAGGGGAAGTGCAAATAGATAGGGAGATAAGCCTTGATGGGCATAAAATTAATGTTTCTAGGGTCACAGAGTAGATTATTTTGTCAATTTGATCTTGAGTTTGGATCTAAGGGTCCTTAGTAGGTCCTATAGAGAGGGCATAGTGGGCAATCTGGACAATCTGGAAGTGAGGAAGTGAGAGACCAGAATCTACTCAGCAATACTACATAAACTGGAAAAAACTTAAGTTCAACCAATGTTCTTTACTAGCGCTGAGAGGGGGTAAAGAGTATGAATGCTTTTATTTGTCAAAATACTGTCGACGCTATTTTGGGTTGATTTGTGGGAGTTGCCTGTAAGAAACTGTCGGTCACCGGAATTGAAATCTAGTCGTCCGCTTCGGAAGGACGTTGAAGTATGAAATCAAACTGACCCCATATTTTTCATAGTTTAAAATGAAAGAACACTGTACCTCAAATCCTATATATATCCCGAAGGGTAAACACAAGACTTGAGGATGAGGCTCGATCAAATAAACTAAGGAAAGTATAACATCTGTTTGTTCTGCGAAATCTTTGTATTTTCCAACAAGTTCCTCTATTTAATATAAAGGATTAAATAGGGCTTATATTAAGCTGGGTTCGGACTTGCTTCCTATAAGGGCAAGCCCCTATAGTTAATTACATCTCAAATGACCAAAGTCACCTAAGAAGACTCTCGATAAAAATCAGGAAATATTATTTTCAAGGATTTTAAAATGGTAGGACTCTTCAATGAGATCAGACGTAGAGGTGTGAAAGGGGATTGGTTCAAATTTGGAACATTTTATTGTAGAATCCAAAGGAGGAAAAACTAGGGGATGTCATGGATTCAGAGGAGAACCTCGGTGACTTCCCAAGCTATCCTAATGTTTGGCTTCAGTTTTGAAGAGAAATATTTAGGTGTTTCATCCTGCCAATTTTATTAGTTAGGGCTTACATT